GTGTTCCCATAACATCATTCAAGGCGCCCCCAACCATAACTCATGAGACATTCCTAGAGTGCTCCTCAACGGATAATAACTCTACGGCCCCAGGCCAACTGGAACTCCCTATAGAGGTCTCTCCAGTGGAAGTCCCCTACGGCATACGACAACTATCTACTGGCCAGAGACACGATACAACTCTATATACCCAAACAACAACACATGCAGGATCATGTTATAATTATACTATTGAACCAAACAACTTCCAACCACTACCTCAATGGGCATAGTGGAGCACACAAGAGGATTAACCTCTGTACCAAGAGATTACCTTTTTGAAGCTCCCGAGCTAGGTAGCTTCAAACACAAGTTATCCCGTAACTTTCTTCAACCAAGAAATGCCTACACAAAAGGTCATTTACACAACATTTAGTATCAAAATGACAACCCAATTGGTCATCCAATCAATCATGCATCAAGTGACTCAATCACTTACCAATATTCTTTTGGTCAAAGACCAAAGGCAATCCACAAACTCCAAGCTTCAATCTTCAAGAATCACATCTGTGAGAGGCAACCTTCAATGATCACAACATAGGATCATCAATCCACTTGTCATACAAGTCATTTTTCAAGACAATGCATTTTCCCCCACAAACATACAATTCAGCCATCATGGCCTTTTTACTTAATTAATGTTGTTAATTTCATTTCATTATTCCTATGTCTCCTTAACCAACCACAACACTATAACCATCCAAGAATTTCATTAAACCATAACTTACTAATTTTTCATTAAAATCCTCATTATGGCCGAATTGTAGGCAACCATGTAGCTAGGGATTTTTTTTGTTTTGTCAAGGTTCAAGGTTCATTTCTAGGCCAACACTAGTCCATCCAATTGCTCAACAACTCCATTTATCATGTCAAATACTCAATTGCACAATTTCACCCTAATTCCCTTAATATGGCCGAATCTATACCATCTAAGGATCAAGTGGTTTTTCTCACAAACTCCAAGCATCATACACTCATACAATCTACTTAAATTTGGTTCAAATCATCACAAGATCAATCACATAATTTTTGCATCATCTTTTACTAATTTCACATACTTGGCCGAATTTATGCATAGGCATAACCAAGGATTCTCAATTCATTTTTCACACATCCAATGCACAACACATCATGTAATTAACTACTACAACTATTCCACGACTCAATTTCACAAACATACCACAATCCAATTTTGCAAAGTCGTGCTCATCCAATCCAAAAATCCACTAAGTTATCAACTTTTCTCAATAATTCTTATGAGCTCAATAATCATAAATCATCATTCTAAGACACATTTATATAATGCACAAATTTAATTTAAGGTCCCCAAATACATCAATCAAGATACACCTAGCTTAGGTCTTGAAAATTGATCTCACAATTTACTCAACAATAGGTGGTGAAACTTACCAAGAATCAAAGCCTAAAACTCCTAAGAACAATACCCAAGCAATGGCTTAAGCAACAAGCTCCAATGGTGGCCAAGAATCCAAATTTAAGTGGGAATGGGTAGGGTTTTTCTCAAAATCTAGGGATCTTCAAGAGCAATGGAGGTGTAGGTTGAATTCGTTAGGTCATTTAATTGAGGTTTCATGTAGGATAAGTGTAGTTTTGGTGAAGATTTGATGGAGAAATCAAGGAAGCAAAATTTGCTCCCTTTGGTGGATGAAGCTCGGGTTTTAGAGAGGAAGAAGGAGGAAGAAGGTGCTTGAATAGTGCCAAGCACATGTGGCTTTAGTTGCATAAGTTAGTTGGGTCCCACTTGACATATCACCTAATTCAAATTATTTCAAATCTCCCACTTAAACCACTAATCTCCAATTAATTCATAATCTATTTATAAAATCCAAAATTTTACATTCATCAAAGTCCTTTAATTTCTCTTGAACAGATGAATACGGAGTTTACCGTTCATTTGGTGAAATCACTGTTTTAGCCTAATATGTGCACCAATAGCACGTTTCTCCAAAAATCTTAAATTTCATAAACAATTATATTTCTTAATCCTAAGTACCTTTTCCAACTTATATTCAAGCCTAGAGCATAAATTTCACTCTGCACGCTTTTCGGTGCAACTGTACCACTGTATTTTTATCCGATAATAACACTATTCATCAAATTTCCAGAAACTTTCCTAACCACTCAATTTGTCGTTCTGAATCCATTTCTAGGGTTATTTTTTCCATTTGAGACATTCTACTAACATTTAACTGTTTAGAGTTACGTGTTTGCTAAATTACCGTTTTACATTTTTTACGTATTTTGACCCACAACTCAGGATTTTCACTAATCCTACCCCTTAATCCTCTTTTTAAGTATAATTATATATAATTTTAATATTCTATCATAATTAATCATACATAATATAATAAAAGTTCTTATGGGATAAGATTTATCATCTTATATATAACCAATTACATTTAATGCCATATACTTTAATATGATCTAAACTAAAGGCTCTTGATATATAATTTAAATAAGGGTTATATTTATCTTATGTCAAATGAAAATTATTATCTCATGTTGAAGAAATAAAATCACAAGTGGGACCCACATGTAAGAGGAGAGAGAAAAAATAAATAGGACCCACCTCCACTTTATGTGTGTAGGAAGCTTGTTTATCTTATGCAGCATAAGATAAGTATAGCCCTTTAAATAATACAATTTAACGGTTATAGGTAATATCTCATATTAGTATTTTCTAATTAATTAAATCAATATTCATTAATTAGAATATTAATTCCTTAATTTTATTATAACATCTATTTTTTTCATAAATATATTATATACTTTTACAATATTATTTTCTTAATCCCTTTAAAATATATTTTTTCTTGGCAAATGTTAAACCTCATTTCTCCACAGGTACAAAAAAAAAAAAAATTGACACGATCCATAAATTATGGATTTCAAATACCACTTCTAAAAGTAATGGTGTAAATAAGTTAGACGGTTTGTCAAGGAATTATAGTCTGGCCTAACTTGACTTGACCCATTTTAAAATTAGTACAAGTTTGAGCTCATTTTTTTTGGTAATCTAGTTTGAGCTCATTAAAAGACTAAATCAGGTCACAAGCCTATTTTAGAATGTTTGCCTCTATGCCTCTAGGCTCGAATAGTTTTTTTAATTATAAAATAATATCTTAATATTTTTTAATAAAATAATATTTTATGATTTTCTAATTTTCACAATTTTCCCTTCTCACTTGACAAATACATATTTGCTTAACCTTAAATTTCCTTGTCGTTACTACTCTTCCCTCCTCCACCAAATGGTGCACTTCTGCCCTCTTCTTAACTTCTTGTCACTTCCAAACCATCCATCGCTCACCATCGTCTCTCAAGATTTTTCATTATCTTGTATAATAACTAAATGACAATCCAAAATGTTGACAATTTAACTACGTTATTGCAAATAAAAAATAATCAATTGAATTGAATTGAATTGAATTGTATTGGTTTATTATAAAATTAAATTTTGATTTAATTAAAAGTAAATTAAAATTTATACATGCATGTTGACGCGCACACACGCAGAAAAAAAATTAACAAAGAGATTTTCATAATGTCGACATTTATTTAAATTTTTTATTATACTTACAAAATTTTATTTTATTTTCACTCTTACATTAAATATATATTATACAATTGACACTTAATTTACATTGATTTTAATAAGTCAAATTTATATTGAAGTGTTTTTTTTATGAAATTATTTGGATTTACATTAATTATATTTTATTAAAAGTTTGGTAGGTGAGACCATGCATTGTATTTTTTAAAAACAAGTCAAATCATACTTATAATTTGACTTATATCAAGTTAACAAATCAAGATAGGCTTAAAATAATTTACATAACCCTAACCTATTTAGACTAAAGGTTGACTTGACGTAACTCATCTATACTCCTAAGTCATATCTATAAGATTAAAAACTAATTTCATATTTTGTTTTTATTTGTATAAGCTGAGAAATGAAATCAAATAATTCTAAATTATTGTTATTAATAAATATGAGATTCTCTCATTTTATAGAATGAAGACAAAGTAGAATCATCAATACTATTTGGGAGAGATTCTTGTTTTGATTTTGTATAAGATTTTTCGTAGCATCATATTAATGACTGTATCATTTAAGAATCATTAAATTTTTAGAAGAAAAAAAAAAGCTTTTGCATTCATACTTTACAAACTTTCTCTATTCTAGCATTAAGGACTAATATAAACCTTAAACAATAATCCCTCAAATTTAGCCTAAGATACGTTACGCGAGTTGATAAACCACTTCCGATATTATAATAAGAGATTATAGGTTTGAAAGCAAAAACCCAAAGGTTTGAAGCTCTTGAAAGTTGAAACAGATGGTTCTAGTTAACCACATTCCACTGTACCATGAAATGAAATATCATCTAATTAATTCAGATCACTTTCAAGAACAGATTCATAGGGACTATACCCCGTAGCCCGTAATTCCGGTCACATTCATATTACCACTTAATCAAAAGGACATTCATTTTCATCTATTTTGGGCAACACCAACTTAATTTTGAAAAGCAAAATAAGATAATGCCGTTTGTAAATTGGAAAAATGTATGTCATTTTAAATGTAAAGTTGTATCATTTCAAGAGAGAGAGAAAAAGATAAATAAAAGAAGAGAGATAGTTGACAAAAAAATAAAGTTGTGATCCCACTTCTTTGTGAGAGTAAAAATATATAAATTATGTCATTTAAAAAGATAAACACTTCTCGTTTTTTCTAAATACACTTTTTTGGTCAAAACCAGGAGGGGTATAACGTATAAGTTGTTTTCCCCACGCAAACTAAGGTTCGTTTTCGATGGAATTGAACCGAGGACAACATCGTAATAAACAGAACAAAATGTGACCATAGTCATAACCTGCACCCTTTAAAAACACAAGGTAGCCATATTCCCACAAAATCACTACACCTGTTTCGTTCGAAGCTCTGATCTCTCTCTCTCTCTCTCTCTCTCTCTCTCTCAAACCCAACAGAGCAGAAACTAGAGTGAGATCAGAATGGAGAAGAAGATGGTTGGGAAGAGGTTTGGTGTGTTGCTGTGTGCAGAGGATTCAGAGTATGTGAGGAAGATGTACGGAGGGTATTTTGGGGTGTTCGTGAGAATGCTTGCAGAGGAAGGGGACACTTGGGATGAGTTCAAGGTGACGTGTGGAGTGTTCCCTGAGGATGAAGATTTGGAATTCTATGATGGCTTCGTGGTCACTGGTAGTTGCAGTGACGCTTATGGAAACGACAAATGGGTCCGTGACCTTCTCACCTTGATTAACAAATTGGACTCCATGAACAAAAAAATCCTCGGCATTTGCTTCGGCCACCAGGTAAATAATCCAATAATACTTCACATCAAACATCAAACATCAACAATTTTTCAGTTACATTTGTTTATTTAAAATCTCTGTGCCTTCTTTTGGTTAGTTCTCTTGGTCCTAGTTCATTGCTTCCAATTTTAATTAAAACTCATATTTTTAATATTTTAATGTAAGAGAAAGGTTTATTATTTATCATCCTTGATAGGAAGAAATGGATGAATATTTTTTATTGTGAGTTGAGGGTGATTTGGGAGAGACAAGGAAGAGAGAATCGTTGAGTGGGACATTGAGCTAAAGCTACAAGTGGTCCAATAATCTCAAATATATTTAGGGGAATGCTTTTCTCATGCTATCTCATGTAGAGACATAATTGGATGGGTCCCACAGTTTAAAAAAAAAAAAAATGCTGGCTCGAATTGTGATGTGTCTGTAACATGAGATAAAAAAATTTATGTAGCTTAGAAGAACATTTCTCGTATATAAAAGGACAAGTTGAAACATTGGGCGAACATTTATAAGAGTGCTATGTCTCACTCAGATAAGGAGGCATTTGAGCAAGGATAATTACGTACGGGAGATTTCTTTTGCTTTTTGGAAAACCTGTCTTTGTTTGCACCCTGTGGTTTTCGCGATTGCGTTGGACAGCACTATATTTCCACGTTATCAAAAATCATAGGCGCGGTTTTAGCTTTATTAATTCCTAAGTTCAGCTTCTATACACGTTATAAAAAATCATGGGCGTGGTTTTAGCTTTATTTTAATTCCTAAGTTTAGCTTTTATATATAAGGGAGTTATTAATCTTATCTCACTTAAGATAAGTCTCAATCTTATACGGATGAAATAAAGTTGTGGGACCAATAATTTTTTAAGAAGAAAAAAAAAATGGGCACAAGATTTCATGAATATGCATCAGACAATTATCTTATGTGATAAAAGATAACTATATATATATATATATATATATATATATATATATATATATATATAAAAGTTATTCTACCTATCATTTTTTTTGTTTACTTTTTTCTACCATCATCCAACACCGTTAGATCAGAATCTTAACTGACATTAATCTTTCTTTCTCTTCTTGAGATTCTGATCTAACGGTGTCGGAGGGTGGTAGGCAAAGATAGGCAGAAAAAATAGTAGGTAGAATAACTTATCCCATATATATATATATATATATATATATATATATATATATATATATAGGATTTATTGTCTCTCATGTTTTAGATGATAACACTGTTAGAATCTTAACTGACATTAATCTTTCTTTCTCTTCTTGAGATTATGATCTAACGGTGTTGCAGGATGGTAGGCAAAGTTAGGCAAAAAAAAATGGTAGGTAAAATAACTTATTCCACATATATATATATATATAGGATTTATTGTCTCTCATGTTTTAGATGATAAATTTTATCTTTTATATATACATAAAAGTGTGCAGAGTCCATTTTTTTTTTCTTTTCATATGACTTCACTTGGGTCACACACAATTTTTTATATGTGTAAATATAAAAACATTAAATCCATATATATATGTATATATATATATATATATATAAAAGCTTAATTTTTTTCTTTTGCTGTAGAAAAAACTTTTCTTCTATACTAATATAAAAGTGAGTTCATTCTATTAATTTTTTTTTTATGATAGGATCCACTTATTTTTATATTAGTGCATGAGAGAGAAATTTTTTTTACAAAAAATAAAAATAAAAATATTTTTCATATATATATATATATATATATATATATATATATAACAACAAATAAAAGCCTTCACCGAGTGACTTAAATGATTTGGTGCTCTGGTCCTTTCACAAAAACAAATTTTCTTTTTCAATTTTATCCAATTTCTTTTCTCCTTATTCCTTTTTGCCCTTCTATTTGTGAGAAGGGATATCTCCAGGTGCACCAAAAATCATTTCTGCGATACATGAGTGATGTCATATTTGTTTCATTTCACTAGCTGACTTGGTACTATGTGTATAGGATTTGTATCGTATTTGAATTTGATAGGAGTTTAGAGGCTTAATCCCATAATCGTGAATCGAACTAATTACAAAACTATGAAATATTTGAAAAAAAAAATATTTACTTGTCCAAAATAAGAAAGAGATTGACTTAAATAATAACAAAGACGCCGCGTTACTGTAGTTCTCTGCTGGCATCTATTCATCTCAATTCTTATTAATTAGTATTTGCCCACAACTTGAAAATATGGGTTATATTATTATTTTTCTCTTGAAGAATGTTTTTACCACCGTTCCCGACATCGAAACCTCTGTAAAGTGTCTCACTTGGCTGTTGTCTGTGGACCACTACTATGATGTAATTTTCAAATGCATCATTTAAGGTTATGAAATGATACGGCGTCACATAATTGATTAGTTCCTTGTAAATATATATATATATTTTATGAAGTTCGCTTTATGGGTATGGTTTGTGACCTATCAGATAATGTTGGCCAATGTAAAGCTAACTTTCTGTTTACAAAAGATTATATTTTATTGCTTTTTCCTTAGTTGTAACTTGTAAGGTTTACGAAAATAATATTGTTTGATCAGATACTTGGCCGTGCATTGGGAGGGAAGGTGACTCGTTCTCCCACTGGTTGGGACATTGGTGCCAGAACCATAACATTGTCATCATCGTTGTCTTTGGCTTTGTCTTCTATCAATCTTCCATCTAGGATTTCCATTATCGAATGCCACAGGGATGAGGTGTGTATATTTCTAAAATGTTAAACTTATCCTTAAATTTTTTTATATCATGACATAATAATTAATCAATGATTTTTCCATTTTACGCAATTAGATACAAGAGCTACCTGCCAAGGCAGAGGTGCTAGCTTGGTCAGATAAGACTGGAATTGAGATGTTCAGATATGGAGATCACATTATGGGAATCCAAGGCCACCCTGAATACTCCAAAGACATTCTTTTGCACCTTATAGACCGTCTTATTCAGCGAGATTTCATCATGGTATTTCCATCTTCTTGTCTTGCTTAATTTTATTTTACAAGTTATATACAAATTTAAATTTTATGTCACGTGGGCATGTTTGATATATTGGATACGTTAATAATATAATCCAATATTATGTACACATGAAATCTCAACAAGTGAAAACATGGTTATTTGAGTTTATATGAGATGGAGCCCAATAACTTGTATTATCTCTAGAGTTTCTAATACTGCATGTTGAGCATTGCAAATTTGATGTCTCTTGGTGTAATATATTTCGGGCAGCAACACTGCCTCCAAACTCTTCTCTCTCAAACTCATAACCTCCAACATGATAATCTCTTTGTCTAGGTGCAATACTTGGAATATGTTGAATTATTGTACTCAAAGTGCATGTTTTGAATTTCAGGAAGCTTTTGCTCTGGAATCAAGGGAGAAGGCTGCACTATGGGAGCCAGATAAAGAGGCATGGAAGAGACTCTGCATCAGCTTTCTCAAGGGTCAATTGTGACAAAAAATAAATGGAAGGGAGAAGTTTTGTAAAGAAGTGATACTTTGAAGTAGTGACCATTGTAAAAGGGCTTATAGAAAGATCAATAGGGCAATGAAATCTACTTCCACTAATTTGGGAGCAATGCACACAGCTCTGCATTGGTAGCAAGTCAGCTGTATTAGGTTGGCAGCCATTAGTTATAATAGTGCTGTCTATTCTACCAAAATTAAGAATTAATTATCAATGGTCAAATCACAACAATAAAAAGCATCAGTTTTCTTCCTTTGAATCTGAATTTTTAAATCTAAAAACGCGTGGTAGTTATATAAACTCGTCCATATTATTTGGCAGGTCAGAGCAGAAAACCATTATTCGTAAATTGTAATTATAACATGAAAGAATTATTCAGAATTTAGATAATATATGTGTATCTGAATTTATCGATAGTTTATAATTAAAATAAAATGATAAGAATTACTCTCCATATGTGTACAAACATGCCATTTTTTTGTGTACAATTCGACATACCAATTCATTCGATCAAAAATTCTTTTGGGCATTTAATAGAGGAGATATTTTTTTTATTAGAAAAAAAAAGATTTTTAAAAATATGGTGGAAATTTTTTTTTCTCGGCTAAGTTACAAAAAGATATTTAATAGGTCCAAAATTTTTCTTGAAATGTTAGGTTAATTCTACTGATGCTATGAAAAAATAAAAATATCATATATTGATATTTTCGTTTGGGAATATGACGTGTAAACTGGAATGATGAGAAAAAAAAATTCATGATATTATTTTCAGTTTCTTTATACCAAATATTGGAAACAAATTTGCACCACCCTACTTTCCCAAGGATTTATAGGAAAATCCCCGTTTCCAGGATTTTAGTATCTAATATTTTCAATTGTGCATAATCGTTATTGTTAATTATTATACTTTCAAATTTGTAGTTTAATTTTACAAACAACGGTAACGTAACGTTTTGTCTTCTTTATTTTTTTGGAAAAAAAGTGAAAACTTTTAGGGGCTGTTTATGTCGTTTTAACCTTTTTTTTTTTCATAAAAAGAAAGCAATCTTTGTAATACTGTGTTTTGTTTAAAAAAAGAGAGGCTATTTTAGGCCATTTTTGTCCTTTTAATCTTTTGTTAGGTTAATTGATGTCAATGTATAATTTTGAGCATAAGATCAGGAAATCTTTAGGAGCGTTTGATAGAGAGGAAAAAGTTTGATGAAAAAGTTTAAAAAAAAAATATTTTGTTGACCAAAATATTATCGGGAAAATTTATTTAATTTGCAAAGTCTATGTTCGGGAGGAACTTCGCACATGTTTTTTCACTTCTTCAGTTATCTCAAAATACCACATCTCAAATGGTATTTTGCAACAGTGAATTTCATCCAAAAATCAACATCAAATTTGTTCACCAGCCATCTTATTTGCGTAGTATTTTTTAAAAAAAAACTTGAACCAAATATGGTATTTTTCAATATCCACCCACACTTCCCCATCAAACCCAAAATGAAACTTCTACCAAACATATAGTTGAAGTTTGAACATATAGAATGTTAGGGGTGTTCGCAGTCTGGATTGGATCGATTTTGGAAGCAAAAATCATCCAATCCAATCTCTTTGGTTTGATAATGTAATCATCCATTCGGTTTGGATTTTTTTTCAAATCCGATCCGATCCAATCCAATTTTTTTCGGTTTGGATTGGATCGGTTTTCGATTTTTTGAAAATCTTAAAATTTGTTTCATGATTATTGTGAAAATAATATCTTTTGTATATATTGGCTTTGTAAAAAAACAAAATTTGAAATACAAAAACATCGGTAAATGATAATATAGTTTATTTTTGGACAATAAGATATGAAGTTCTACACAAATAAAATTTTGTTGATGAGATGTGACTAGATTTTTTCTTGGGTTTAGTTGATGGGTTAATGAGTCTTGGGTTTAGAAATTTTTGGACTATAATTAAGGAAATGCTCAAATACATAGAGGAAAATTAATATATTGGATCAGTTTGGATTGGATTGATTTTCATCAACTAATTCGAAAATTGATCCAATCCAATTAAAATTTGTGATTTTTTTTCAGTTTTTGATTTTTCGGTTTTCGATTTATTCGGTTATCAGTTTATCGGTTCGGTTACCGCAGTTTGAATCGGTTTGGATCGGTTGATAAACACCCCAATATAATGCAAGCCATTTTCTTTATCATGTGTGATTTTTTTTTTTTTTTTGGCTTGAATTTTTTTTTATTTCTGAAAAAAAAAACAAAAAACAAATGGGATGCCCCTCACATGGTAGGGAAGAAACTATTATTATCTCGACGGTAAGATGGGGAAGAATGGGGCCCTTCTGCTAAAACCTATTTGATAATTAACTTTACTAGGTCCAATAGCCTAAAGTACACCAAAAAGAAATAGCTTTCGAGCATTTTATTGGTGTTTTTACTTGCAAATAATTAAAGAGGTCTGATCGCATGTCCATTCATACAAATTGTATTCAATATAAGACAGAATGCAAATTTTATAAAAGGGTGTTCGGTAGGAGATAAAAAAAAAAAAAAAACTCTTAAAAAATGGGTGAAAAAAATTATTTGTCCATGTTTGATTGGAAGTGAAGTAAAAATATGGCTGAAAAAATTACTTTTTCATTATTTGTTTTTCTTCATAAAATGGTTATGGAAGATTACCATTAATAGAGTGAGATTTTTTTTTCTCATTTTATGAAAAAATTAATACACAATATCAGTAAAATTAATCTAATATTTTGAGAAAAAAATTGATTTACTAGGCATCTTTTAGTAACTTACCAAAAAAAAATATTTCTTACCATATTCTTGAAAATTATTTTTTTTCGATAAAAAAAATTCTCCTTTATCAAATGTCCTTAACTGAAAAAAAAAAAAAAATTGTCGCAAATGTTTGGTTGAGTTTGAGCAATTGCATATTAACCTCAAATCTGTGTGGGGCCTGTGGACTATATATGAGCAGGAAAGGGTGCGTGTCACATGCATGTGCTATAGAATATAATCAATTATTTCAAACTATGATTATATAAATCTCTTTTATTTCCTTCTTATATAAATTTTAGAAATTTCTATGGGCTTCACCATGTTATTTTAAAATTAAGAAAGAATCTAGATAAATGACAGAAATCGAATGCATTGTTCGATTTCGATGTACCTTATCTACACAATTTGCCTCTTGACAATGATCATGAGATGTGCTCTATTTTGGAAAATAGTATTTATCTCCACAGCAGCGTGTCTGTCATTAGAAAATAAATCATTCCGTTATAAGAGAAATGTTTGTAATATGTATTCTAAGATGAACGAGGATATTCTCACTACTAAAAATTTTTACTACCAATTTATTACTTATTTAATCACCATTGGATCAAAGAGAGAGAATGCTAATTTTTTTTTGAAGAGAGCAAAAATGTTAATCTAATGGTGATTAGATAGGTAGTAAGTTGGTAATAGAAAATTTCGGTAGTGAGAATTAGGGGTGAAAGTGGGCTGAGTTGGGCCAAGCTTTGCACTGAAAAGCCCAAGCCTAGTACGAGTCTAACTGTTAGCCTGACTTGACCCGTTTATAAAAAAACAAATGGTCTGACCTGACCCGTTAGCCTGTTAATTTTTAACTTCCAAGCAGAATATGAAGTGTAAGAACCCGCACTGTTAATTAAGAAAGTTAATTAATTAATTGTGAGAAATTAGGTAATAATTCCATAATTGACCCTAATAATTATGATAAGGATTAATTAATTATTGTAAGTAATTAATAATGCTGAAAGTCGCTTTTCTGACGAAAAATGCAGATACCGGTTCTGCTACTCGGTATAAATGCGTACCGATGAAGTATCCCAAAAAATTATTAAAAGTGTGTATATGTCACTAGAATAATATATAGGACTTGTAAAACAAGTTTCAAGTTAAAATAATGAGAACTAGTGCCAGAACTGATACGGGCTATGGAAAAGCGCGTACCAGAAATGTGCTGCGAAAAATAAAATAAAAATAAGATAAATCCTAGAAAAATGAGTAGGTTCAGAATCTAAAGTTTGAGATTAAAATGCTAAGTGCAACTATTTTTGTTATTACTGTGTGTTTTAACTTAAGTGAGCCTATATAAGCTAGTGGCACAATGCCCTAGGTCAGAATGCAAACCTCCTACATGAGTTTTTGGACCCCCTTTGGCTGCTGGTCAGTTTCTTCCTATGCCACCTTCTTCCTCCATAGCAAAAGCTTCAAGAAACCATTTTTATTCCTTGTTTCTCTACCATATCACCTTGTGTGAGTGAGGGCTTGCCTTGGGTGTTAGTAGAGGACCTTTTTTCTGAGTTTGGTTTCAGAACTTGTGAGGAGTGTGGGGTTGTGTTTCTGATTTGTGTGAGTATAGCCATTTTCTTGGCATTTTGAGCTCTAAGTTGTGAGCTTTGTGGAGAAAGACACCACCTTGAGGTGTCAAATTCGTGGGCCTTAGAAGTCAGTGCTGTGTGACTGTGTTGGAAGCTCCAAGGAGGAGTCTTTTTTTGAGTTTGTGAAGCCTAAGGTATACCATGATCATAGCCTTGATGTTTTGATAAGTTTAACTTGTTTAATCATTTAAAAAGAGAAACTTTAACCATTTGAGTAAATAAATGTGTTTCTGAGTTCATAACATGATAATGAACATCTGTTTAGGGAGTCATTGGACTCCTAATTGCGTTTGGACCCTTAAAATTGGGATTATGCAGTTGTCTGTTCGAATTTCTGCATTCTGTTGGAGAAGTATTCGAATACTTGTCCTCTGGTAGTCGAATACTCCTTGTTGGAGTATTGGGATACTTTTCTGGGAAGAAAAGTATTCGGATACCTTTGAAGAAGTATTCGAATACTGGAGAGTATTCGAATACATGGAGTTTTAGTATTCGGATATTGTGGTATTCGGATACTTGGGGTGTTGGTATTCGAATACCTTGTGGTATTCAAATACTGGAGTGAAAGTAGTCGAATACTTTCTGAAGAGCTGGAGTATTCGAATACTAATCGTGTAGTATTCGAATACTAATCGTGTAGTATTCGAATACCTCCTGCAGAAACAGCATAAAATGAGTTTAAATGAGTAAGAAAGCCTTAATCACTTAATGTAACCTTGGTAAATGGTTGTTGATGTTTATTACTGTATAAACAGATTGTGATTGTGCTGTTTGTGGGCTTTGAGCTAGTGTGGACTCTTGGCTTGGATTGTTAGCTTGCAAGGTAAGC